CTTCTTCTTCTTTTTTTTTTTTTTTTTTACACTTTTCACAGAAGCACTTACCATTTGAAGACACACAGACGACCCACAGGGCGAAAAGAAAAATCCACCTTCCAGCGTGCATCTTCATCTGCATCTCGTTATATAAAATCATCCCGCTGGTGATGGTACGTCTTTAGACAACAAAGCTACGAAGTTTGGGTTTGGACCGCCTCCTTACTTCAGATTTCTTCTTAAGGCCCTTTCACGTGGGACGCGGCATGCGCAGCGCTGCGCTCCGAAACCCATTCTTTTTTAATGCTTGCGCCGCGCAATAGCGACCCAAGTGACCAATAGAAACGAAGCTTAGAACCGCGCTAAGTTCAACCACACAACGAACAAAAACATTCTGTGCGTACCCGAGGCTTAGAGTGGCATGGGAAACAGATGGGGTGGCAAAATCAGAGGCATTTCTTTACAAATCCAGGTGTTAAGTGTTATGTGATATGTATGGTTAAAATACAATAAATGCAGCAAGTAGGCTATACACGCTTCATATATGGAAAGTTTGTAACTTTCTTATTGACTTTAGCTCAAATAATTAAACACTTCAGTTAAAAAATGTGAATGTTGATTCTGTGTACTATATATGTAATAAACAAGCATGTAGCCCAATAAGTATAAAATTCAGAAGGCTACACAACATGAGGTGGATCTGTCAAAAAGTTTCTCTTCTTATGTCATTGTTCTGGGTCAGCTGACCCGGCATTTTGAGTTTATGCTGTTTTGTGATTTCTTTGTGTTAATGTTTTAGTTTTCTGTCATTTAGTATTGAGTTTAGTCCTGGTTTTGCTTCTATGTTTAATTATATTTCTGTTTCCATGTTTTTTTTGCATATATGTCACTCCCTGTTTCCTATTTGAGTCTGTCATGTCGCATCATGTCCATATCGTGTCTCCCATTTCTGTTCCCGTGTTCCCCACGTGATGTGTGTTCTCCCCAACCCATCATGCTGCTCGCTCTCCCTAATTTTTTATTTTTTGACACCTTAACCTTCATTACAAAGAGTATAACAATCAACACCTTTTGAAAAGCTCCTTTCAAAATTATAAGAGCGATATAGATACCCTTTGTCCCTTTGGTAAAGTCGTCCCAGAGACTTGCTAGTTTTTGTTTTCATCTTGTACCTTTACACAGACTTTATGTAAATCTGTGTAGGAATTTTTTTTTAAAGATGTGCCGATTGCCAAATTGGCCAGCAGGTGTCACTGTGAAGATGTGTTTTACACTGTTTCAAAATCTCTATACAACAGGTGTTGTGCCAGAAAGTGAATTCCAGTATTTAAACTGCTGTAAATGATTTGTTGGCCCATAATATGCGAAACATATGTCAAATGCATGAATGATAACGAGTCATCATGAGCCACAAACAACATTCCTGTGACAAGATGGAAGCTGCAATCAGTTTTTGCCAGAGTGACTTTCGTATAAACTTTATCTATCAAGTTAAAAAGTGTCCCTGACAAATGTGCATTTGAAACTCAAATGCACAGTAATAAAGAGATATTGCGCAAAATAGGAAAGTGGCTATTTGATGTCAAAAACCAGTACAAAGCCTATGATAATCATGATAGTGATAACAATGGATGTTATGATAATAAGGTTGCCAACTATAAATGCGGGTAATGATGATGTTGGACCAAATGACAGCATTTCCATAGTTGTTGTTAAAACATGTTTGTCAGCTTGTCGTTACAGTCTTGGGTCTTCATAAGCATGCCTTTGCCTATACAGCCAAATGTTGATCAAAGCAATTTTAATGAATGAAATGAATGAACATCATGAAAATGAATAAGACTGAAACACAGTTTCAAAATGGTCTGAACAGCAGGAAGGGCCAGTCTCCTCAAAACTTAATTCAGACAATGGCAACCATCAATCCATCTTCTTCTGCTTTATCCGGGGCCGGGTCGCGTGGGCAGCAGTCTAAGCAGAGAAGCCCAGGTGAGGGTAGGGACGTAGATCAACCGGTAAATTGAGAGCTACGCTTTTACACTCAGCTCCCTCTTCACCACGACGGAGCGGTGCAGCACCAATCCGTCTGTCGATCTCTGGCTCCCTTCTCCAATGACAACCTTCTCCCAGAAATCACAACCACATCAGCTCACCACTGGATGTCTTTTAAATTCCCAATCCAGTGCACAGGGACAAACTGGTTTTACTCATAAATCTTCTACTTCACAACTTCTATGGAAGCGATGACCCTTAGTGACTGCTGTTAGGGTAATGATCCCACGTATTCACTGCTGCTTCCTTATAAAGCTGCCCAACGAGATCATCAATGTAGGTGTCTGATTTCCATCAGGTGTTTGCAATTTGCTATTGTTAATTCTAGAGCTGCAACTCAAATAAAAACAAAGCGAAGCAAATTAAAGTATCTTCTATACTGTGTGAAGACAATTATAAATTGGAGGCCACCCCCCACTTAACAGCAACACTTATAAGGAATTGTCTGAACTGTAGGATGCCAGTGACTCATGATAACATCCCACGACAGAAAGAATTACATTCTTGGCCACACTTAAACTCTGTGGAAATTCTGACGCTGATGTGGAGCTGATAATTAGAGCAAATGATTCAAAGGTAATGGAACCAAAGAGGTGACTCTCCTTTTTAAAATTGCTTTTGGTTAATTTTTGCCTGTATTATATTGTCTGTTTTACCTTTTATGAATTGTTATCTTATGTGTCGCACTTGATTCTGTCTAGAAAGGTGCTACATAAATAACATTTTATTTACTATTTACTTAAAACTTTACACCCATGGCTGGAGTGGTAATCTGGCATACCATCTAGTATAAGTCAATATACTTATACGGGCTACAAGTCAGCTTCTGGGCCACTGCCCACTGGCCCTACAAGCACTATTGGTTCATTTTCATTACTGACAATGGATTGCCCAATCTAATCTCTTAAAACAATCAGCACTTCCCCTTCCCTGCATGTCTGTGCACACTGGGAAGGTAGTGGTTGATAAAAATGAACCAACAAAAGCAAAACAAGAGAGACCTAAAAAGCTGACAGAGAAAAAGAAATAGTAAATAGTAATCAAGGCAAAATGTGTCAAATTAAGTCACATGTTAGCAGCTCCACCTTTAACAGAGTTTTTTTTACAGCAACAGCTAGTAAGAAGCCCTCTCGGTCGCAGACGGTGGTTGTTGCTAGCACTAATGCTTCAGGGCCAAGAGAATGGAAACCACTGTCCTCATTATGGTAAAAAACAGTGTATAAATAAAAACTGGTGGTTTGCACGAAGCTGCTGAAACTCACACACAGAAACATCACCTGCAACTTTAATGTACCCAGCTGACTTATACAGTTCTCACTTTTTTCTAAATATTTCATAGTAATAGGAGAGCAATGAGAAAAAGGAGCGAGAATCAGAATCAGAATCAGAATCAGAATACTTTATTAATCCCTGGGGGAAATTATTTGGGGAAAATATGGTAATTCAACACGGTTAAAAGCAGCAGCTAAGGAATGTCTCAGATTAAACTCTTCTGGTATATGTCAGCTTCCCCTACAAATTAAGAAACTGATAGATGGTTTGCAAATATGTGTGTACAAAACTTATTTTTCCTTTTTTGAAGGATCTTGACAGAACCCAGTAAACTTTGTTCTGGATAATCCGTTGCAAAAAAAAAACATGCATATTGAGTGTATAATCATGTGTCAAGTAAAGTTAATATGTTTGAAATATATATAACTTGCATATTTCTTTTCTTTGCTTGCTTTATTTGGTGGTTGCTGTCACTTTCTATATTTTAGTAAACAACAGATAAGCAAACCTTCTCTTTTAGAAGCCAATGCAATTTACACGTGGATGCACACACTGCATAAATGTCAGGTTTCTGTAAGAGTTTAAATTAGAACCATAAGCCACAGTGGGTTGTGTCAAAAAAAAAAAAAAAAAAAAAAATCAGCATATATACATCCAGTGCTGTGAAGAAGTGTTTTTCCCTCTTCTTGATTTCTTTTTCTTTTTGAATGTTTGTCAAACTGTTTCAGATCAAACACTTCAATATCACAAAAAGGTAGCCTGAGTAAGTATAAAATGTAGTCGTTAAATGATGATTTCATTTATTAAAGGAAAAAAATGATCCAAACCTAACTGGCCCTGTGTGAAAAAAGTAATTGCTTCCTAAACCTAATAACTGGTTGTGCGGCAGCAGCAAAACTTTCAATCAAACCAAACAGTTGTGATAAGGAGCAATATCTCTTATTATTGAATCATGACCTCTGACATTAACTGAGACAAGTGAGGCCTGCAGTTCATGAGATGATGTTCTGTTTTCTTTTTCACTTCCTAGATGAGGTCAATGTGATCTTGGAGTCTTCTTGTTAGGTGGTCACTCCTGGGAAGGCTCACCACTTTTTTCTCCGTCTGTGGATAATGGCTTTCACTGTGGTTCTCTGAAATCCTGAAGCTTTAGAAATGGCTTTGCAACCTTAGATGTCATTAATTGCAGTTAGTTCATGAATAATTTTATTTATAGAATTTTGTAATTTAGTAACTTTTCACTGTTTTCATTTTTGCTCTTCTTTTTCTCTTTTCCCCTCTTCTGAGGATTAATTATAGAAGGAAGATTCTGTGGCCTCTCACCTGTTTTCTCCTGTACGAAAACAAACAATACATTTTATTTTAGATTTCACATTTGTTATTCCAGTAGTCTGACATTTATTGTTTTATTTGTTTGTGTTAAAAGTGCTCTTAGCATTATGCTGTCCGACAACAGATTATTTATTTTGGAATCCTTAGCTAATTTATTACGGTTTGAAACAACTTTTTTTTTTTAAACTAAAAAATAGGTTAATTAAAAAAATATTTTTTTTCCTCTGTGATACAAATTCTACAGGACTATAAACATGGGCTATCTTGCAGTTTGGCAGTTTAATTATTTTTTGTCTGGTACAATGGTTCTGTGACCAATCCACCCTCCAAAACAA